TGGGCTCACGGGTGCTGAAAGGAGGGAAGACTCACCTCCCTTGAAAGCCCCTTGCGAGACTTATCTCCAGCAGAGCGTGGTTTTCCTGGCACCGTCCCGCCATGCCATGGCATCGTTTTGCTGCTGTCACCCCAAATTTAAGAGAAGTGCATCGCACCAACAGCAATGCCAACATCGGTCCAACTCTCCTCCTGCGCTTGGTGCTGCTGCTCGCTCACAGGAGCTTACGAGGGAATTGGTCCACACATGAACTGGGGTCGGGCAGTCCCTGTACAGGGGCGACCTGGCAGGGGGGCACTGGCCCTGTCCCCTCCCTGTGGGGCTGCCAGATGAGACTGGGGGCCTTGGCATCTCGACCACCTTTCTTTTCCCTGCCGTCTTTTCCCCTGGGTACCACTGGTGACACACGCTCAGTCCCCAGGGGCTGGGCTTGAAGGCCATGGGAGTCATTTGCCAGAGAAGGGCAACTAAGAGGGAAACCGTGGCCTGGGTTTCTTCTCTATGTGCAGCTCTTCTGGCTCTTTCATTCCCTTCCCATTCATTTCTGTCGGGTTTTGCTTCTGCCTGACATTGCCCCTGGCAAATGCTGCGTTTTCTAAGCATCTCAGGGTTGGTTTGGTCTGAGGGGTCCTGAACAAATCCCACCAAGATCTATCACCCTGCATGACTTTTTCATGGCAGTCTTTCTTTCTGGGGAAGTCACCTTTTTTTCTGTGTTTTAATTATATGATCCTCACATCGCAGTTTCAACATATCGCCTTCTCTGACAGATATGCCATCACCTTGATTTACACAAGTACGCTTCTCCTTACACAGAGGAGGAAATGAGAAAGTAATGGTCATATTTCAAAACCACCTACAGTGCAGGTGGCGTAAAATCTTATCTGACAATTATATCTGAAGGTAGAAATTTAAATGAAATCACTTTAGTGTTTAGCAATTGACCAACATCAGATTATACAGCAAGCAGTTTAATGTAAGGAGGTCTGCAGGCTGCAATATTTAAGTTTCTGGGCCTCACTGAGGGCTGCTTAACACTACCGTAGCACAGTTGAAAACTCGGTCCAAAAAAACCCCAGGAAAATATACATTTTTTTAATGTAGCCCTTCTCCATTCTTCTCAGGGCCCTGAGGGCACAAATAAGCCTTAATGGCCCTGCCCAGCCCCACACCCCTGGGCCCAGGACCCTCATTTTGGCTCAGCGCGGGGCCGTCAGTCCCTGCCCGGGCTGTGCTAGGGCCGGGGAGCCCCCACAGTCACGTCACCCCGCTTGTGCTGCACCCTGAACAAATCTTCTTTTGCCTGTTTCTACTAGCACCTGCTCCTGTACAAATATTTAACAAACACGACATTGCTACAAAGTGGTATTGACACAGGTAGGATATGATGGGCCCACAGCAAAGAGCACAAACGGCGAGTGGTGCAACGGGCCCTGTGAGAAATCTCTATCGGTAGAGTTTGACCAAGGAAAAGCTTCAGTGTCAGCCCACACCAAGCCCAGCCCTGGCTAGGACAACCAAAGCGAAGACTTTGCTTCTTGGTTTTCCCTTGTCTGCACAGCAGCACAGCTTACTCTCTGCTTCATACGCCTTTGTTTCTCTTTACCTTATTTGTGGGACTGAGAGAGTCTAACGCGAACGGAAGATGCTGTTTAATGTGAGGAACTTCTTCAGGATGGCAAAACTAACAGGGACCAGCAAGCAGCTGCTGCGACAGTTTTGGTAAGCTTATCCTTTAGTTTTGTCTGGCGTTCAGTGACAGTTAGTCAGAAATCTGGAGACAAAAGCAGCTGAATCGTGTGAAGGAGTGAGTGTTTCAGAGAAAGGCACTTTCTTTTCTGTATTTTTAGTGCCCTTTTGCCTCCCAAGGCAGCAGGTTCTACATCTTCGGGAGGCTGGAGGATTTTCCCTTTTAATGTCTGTGAAATGCTGTTAATTCTTTCTGTGGGATTTAGCAGCAAAGTCAAGATGGAATGTTTCTTCTTGAGGTCAGTGTATGCTGCAGGTACTGTAATCAATAAATAACTATCTGAATAAAGTACAGGAAATTCTTATGCATTTAGACAATTATCATGGCTCGTACCAGGGGGGAAATTCTCTCCTTGAAGCTGCAAGGTGAATCTCTGCTTTGGTATTTTTTTGTCTCTATATACACTGGAGGCATGCAGGAAAAGCATTATGTGATATGAGGTTCGAAGTTAATGAGGTAGATCTGGCTCCCTGACCTGGCTTTGGGTTCTTTCTTCAGCCGCATAGACGTGTCTGCCCCGTGCCTTCGTACCTGTATGGCAGTGTTTCAGTAAGCTGCTTCTCATAGAATCGTTTAGGTCGGAAAAGACCTTTAAGATCATCGAGTCCAACCATCATCCATGCCCACTAAACCATGTTCTGGAGTACCTTGTCTTCTGCTTTTTTAATACCTCCAGGGATGGTGACTCAACCACCTCCCTGGGCAGCATATTCCAATGTCTGACAACCCTCTCAGTAAAGAATTTTTCCTAATATCCAACCTAAACCTCCCTTGCTGCAACTTGAGGCCATTTCCTCTTCTCATGCTTGTCACATCTCCAGAGTCAGGTTAAAATTAGACTTGAAACTTATTTCCACATCTTCCTATGTTTTTATGTCGGTGTCAATAAGAATAGCATTAACAGCGTTATGTAACAAATTATCAGTGCTGGAAGACAATATATGGCAATTTCACATTCACAGGAATCCTAATATGCAATAAGTCATTTTTATTTATCATTTCTACATTACATCAGATGAAAAACAAATGTTTATCCAAGTTCTGTGATTTATTTGCTACAGTTTTAAAGTGGTGATAATTTTTTTTATGGATTTTGGGTTTTCACTGCTGGCAACTTCCTCTGCTAGATGATAGAAAAGCAAGTTTGGAAAACAACTGCAGTAAAGCTGGTTTTCCAATAAAGTCATCCAATTTTTTAAGCTTCCAATATAATGTTTGTTATTTTTAGGGTTTTTTTTAACATTATATCATAATGTTGGCGTAAGCTATCACCACTGTCTATGATCATTACAAGTTAAGCACACTGTGGTTGATACTGCAGGGTAACATATCTATCAGTCTGTGCTAATGGTCCAAAGCAATTGCTGTCCCTGCTCAAAAAGGAATAAGCCAACTGCTTGACCATGCAATTCTGCGTGTTACATTTTAACTTTGGTATGTTGTCTCATGATCCTTCTCTGCAATTTATTTGTCTACTTCTGCCTCTCTTTCAGAGGATGTGGACAACAGGGAAGGGAACAGGTTTCTTGGAGGTCATAGCAATAAAACAGAATGATCATGGGAACATAGAGGTCAGGAGCAGACCTCTAGTCCAACTTTCTGTTTGTAGGCTGACAACAGCATATGAGGTCAGCTATGTCTTTGCTTAGCCACGTCTTGAAAATCTCCAAGGATGGTAATTCCAAATCCTCTCTGGGTAACCAATTTTAGTGCTTCACTATCTAGCAGTGCAGAAGTTAGAGGTGGATATTTCTTAGTCCAATTCTCAATCATGCTGAGTGGTAAAACAAGACCAATGAACAGAAGTTTTTGCTTGGCAGGTTGAGATTAGACAATCTCTTACTCCCTGGAAGGAACTGTAGGCTGCAATTAGAATCTTGAGGAGCAGCACCAAAGCTGCTCTGGAAACAATGCAGCAGAGTGAGAAACAGCAAGCAATTGCATAGATTTTAAAACAGGACAAGTATTTTTTTGTTCCCCCAAACTGGATAGAGTAGCAAATCCCTATTCTGAAAAATGATAATAATAAAAAAGTTGCAGTTAGGATACTAATTTCCTTCAGAATATACACATTGAAGTTAGAGCCAATCCCTTGAATATTAACTAAGAGCCTTGGTATTCAAGGCTGGATTTCAGTAGCTTACCTTGGTAGGCTGTTTTTCATGCTATGGTGGAAGCTGCCTCATCCATGAATGCCCAGCCTTTCTTATAATGTCAGGTATACTCTATTCTGCAGCTGTTGAATGTAGAAGTGCAGGAAATAATTTTGCTAGCTCTGTAACACCCACTTCAAATTAAAAAATGGGGCATTTGAACGCTTCCAAACTGTTTCTAGGTTGTTTAACTCAGGTTGGAGGCAAGCATGGGGACAGAAGGATAACACTTATAGCAAAATATGTAACTTTATTTTACTAATCATTGCAATGCTATGAAGGTTAGTCTTTATGGCTTGTAGATGTGCATTATTTTTTTAAATGGTACTGCTACAAATATTTATCACTTAACTCACACATACAGTTCAGACTGTATTTCACTTAAGAATCAATTTTCAAGGACTCTCCAGGAAAATAGATGGGCAACATTACTCCAAACTTAGAAAACAAGAAATCCACTCCTTTATCTGTGTGGTACTACAGAAAAGTCTACCCCTTCTGCAGTTTGGGGTCTTGTGCAGACACTGGACTCTGATGGTGCACATTGATGGGCATCTTTGTGGTGCTTTGGCTTATCTTAGTGGTGGATCCTCTGGCAGTCTGCATAATCTCTGGAACACATTGCCCTGATATATGATGGCATATACTGCGTTCCAGCAATATTAATCTGTAGGGCATCTGCATGGGCTACTTCTTCATACATTCTCCATGTTTCCACTGTTACACATAATCCTTTTCACTGTGAAAAAAGTCTACTTAGTAATGGTGGTGGTATAATGTGTATCTAAAGCACTTTTAAGGTGTCCAGAAGGAAAACACACAGTATTTAGATATCTTCAGTTAAAGAAAAAATTCTGCTATATGATTTGAAAAGTTGTGCAGTTTGTACTGTGATGTCAAACGGACAGTAATAATGTGTGGTACCATTCCCTTAAGAGCTGCTTTCTTCCTCCGGTTTCAGTTGGAGCCTGTGCCACAAAATTCTGCAGAAAAAGTCTTTTCTTCCAGATTTAACTAATAGAACTGCAAAATCTTTAGAAGCCATAATAGGCCTATCCACTACCAGGGCTTTTATTCATTGGAATTAACAGAAGAATGAACAGAAATTCTGGGGTTTTGCCCTGAATTTTCCTAGCTGTGGGCTCCAGGGCTTGGCTATTGGCAGGTGCCGTAATGGAGCCTCAAAAGTGAGCTAGAGGGAAGCCTACTTGGGAATACAAAAGCAGGAGCTGCACTCAGTCCATTTGTTTGCATTGCTTTGGTCTCCATTTCATCAGATCAGTCTAAAAACGCTGCATTTAATTAAAAAGACATGTTTAGCTTGTACCCATCCAAACCTTAGCAAGAGTACAGTGCAGGCTGTGTTATGCTAAGGAGCGCTGTAGGTACAGTGTCAGAGACAGGGCTGAGCTGCCACTCTCCCTTACTAAGCCCTTCCTTTCTCTGTGGAAACACAGGCTTGTGTGTGACTTTCATTAAGACACTTCGTCTAAGCTAGGGGAAATTTGATCATATAACTTCTGTGGGTGATTATCAACATCCAATTTCATGTGACTCTGAAGTCGTAAATCTGGCTGGAGGCCAGAATACACTGAATAAATAAACTGCACATGCCCAGAACACC